TTGTGGCTTTTGCTGTGTTCTACCACCATGAGCTGTAGCTCTCTGCCATGTGCCACTCTGCCTTATAACCTGCCAACTATGGACTGAAACCTCCACAAACTGTAAGTGAAATAAACCTTTCCTTCCTTCATTTTGGGCATCAGTATTTTGTCCCAGCAATGAGAGAAAAGTAACCAAGACAGTCCTTCATAAAGCATAAACCACAGGCCAGGTGCATGATGGAGCAAAGCTGCTCAGCTCCTGGTGGCTTTCAGGAAGTTACCAATTACACTTCCATTTGGAATTTAGTCACAAGGTTCCATCCAGCCCCAGAGGAGCCTGGGAAGTGTAGTTGGTGCTCCAGGCAGCACCACACACAGCTCTAAAGCAGCGTTGTCTTCCGATCCCAGAAGGGACTATCTGCATTCTGACTCAGTAAAAAACAGGGTGGGGGTCAAGGGGATTTGCTATATCCTGGCAGAACCAGCTGTGGGTGGTGATGCCACTCACCTAGAAACAGAAAAAAAAAAATGACAGTTGCAATAATTGAGCACCTTCTTTATGCCAGGTACTGTAGGAGGTGGTTGGGGTGCTATATCTAAAAGCACTGCCTGAGGGTTAGGATGTGGTCCAGTCCAGAGAATTCCCCAAAGTATAAGACCAACATCTGTGCATCGTACCTAAGTAAGGAGTTGTCCAGAAAGTGTCTGATTTGGAATCAGATCCAAGTTCCGTCTTGCTGCACACTTCCTGCAATCGAAGCCCCTTGTGATCTTGGGTGACATCTGTCCCCTCTCTTCTCCCCTTCCTCCCTCCTTCCTTTCCTCCTTCTTTCTGAACTGGGATTGAACCCTTCCCTCTGAGCTACATCCCAGCTCCTTTTATTTATGTTTTACATTTTGAGCCGGGGTCTCACTACAGTGTGAAGTTGCCAAAGCTGGGCTCGAATTCAGTCTTCCTAGGGTTGCTGGTGCGTGGCACCCTGCCTAGCAAAGTCTGTTTTTACAAAGCCCTGCTTCGCTCGGAGCTGAGAGCTGGGGTCTCAGGCCAGTGATGGGCTGTGGGCTTCTGGGCTCACCTTCTTCAGTGAGATGCTCCTCTCCCCCAGTGCATACCTGGCAGCATCAGATGTTTGGTCCTCACCACCTGGGAGGAGGTGGCTGCTACTGGGACCTAGTGGATAGCTACTAGGGACGTTGCCAAATGTCCTAGGGGCACAGGACAGCCCACCACAGCAGAAGGTGACACCAAGCAGCACAGTGTGGATGCTACCAAGGCCGAGAAACCAGTTAGAGTACAGCACCCACTTCCTGGCTATGCTGCCTGCAGTGAATTGCTTTGCCTCTCTGAGCTTGAGCTGACCGTTTATTTCCTCCTCACTAGCTGGGGACTGTCAGTCTCCCTCATGGGCTTTTAATAACTGATATCTGAGAAGCGCCCTGGGCTTGACTCATCAGGTCTCAGCTGCCTGCCCACATCCTGGGCTCGAGGGAATGATGCTGGCTCATAGCTCACAGGTCTGGTACAAGGCCATCACCTTACTACAGACATGATGGTCTGCATCTACGCTTCAGCCCGTAGAGATGAAGGTCTGCTTCTGCTCTGGACAGTCAGCAGTGCTTTGGGCTGTGCAGAGCCGATCCTCCTGGAGCTAGAGAGAGGGGACAGCCACAGACAGAGCGCCAGCCCTGAGGGTGGCAGAGCATGGGTAGAACTCAGCTCCTGTACAGGACACAGGTGTCCTTCTACCTCCTCCAAGTGTCCTTGTCCCAAGCACTTCCTCTGGTTTCTGTTCCCTCTGTTCTGAGCACACTCCCTGCCTGGCTTCAGCTGAGGGGGTCAGTGCCCCATCCAGCTGGAGTCCCCTGGGTGGCATAGGGCCAGAGAGGACCCTTGTCTCCACCCACGTCTCCTGCCAGTGCCACAGCTGCTGGCCTTCTGGAAGATATCCAGGCAACCCATTCATGGTTCTGCTTGTGAACACGGGTCCTTGAAAGAGGTGAAAGCTCCTGAAAGCAGCTATGCTCACCACCATACCACCAGCGCCACACCGGGAAAGCGCCTGGCACCTGTTCTGAGGCTGCATGGGAGGTCAAGAGAGCAGGGCTGGCATCTTTGGCATGGGACAGACCCTGAGCTCAGCAACCCGAGCCTGGTCTAGTGCTCGGCATTCACTTTCTTGAAATTCTTTTTGTTTTTTTGAGACAGGTTCTCACTATTATAGTTCATGCTGGCCTTGAACTCACTATGTAGCCTAGGCTGGCCTCAAAATCTCAACCATCTTCCTGGCTCAGCCTTCTGAGTGCTGGGATACAGGCATGTACCACTGCACTTGCCAAATACACAGTTTGCGTGCGCACACGCACGTGCACATTTGTGTGTGGTGCTGGAGATCAAACCCAGGGCTGAGGCCTCTACCACTAAGCTGTACTCCTAGCCTACTTGAAATTCTTAATCACTTAAAAATTGTTCTGGTGAGGGCCAGGCTGTGGTGAGTGCTGGCCTAGCATGCAGAGGCCCTGGCTTCTATCTCCAGCACTGGGGAAGAGGATGTGGTGCCCGGGGCCCCAGATGGATGGCAGTCCAGAGGGGCACCTGAGTAGCTGGTGCTTTTTTCCCTGTTCCCTCTGTGGCACTCGCTATGCACTGGCAGTTTCTAGTCCCAGGGGCCCCAAGGCCTATATTTGACAATATTTTCATTCCTCAGCAGTCTGTCCTCAGGGCTTCCTGCTTCCTAAGACTAGAGCGGCATTCTCAGGCCAGGTGGGTGCTGCAGTCTCTTGGGGTGGCCAGCCTTTTCTAGGCCCAGTGCTCAGGTCATCTGCTTCTGGAGGGAGCTGACCCCACGTCTCCTGAGATGTAGCCTGGCTGCTGCTGCTACCTTCCAGAAATTCTTCTCTGGAGCCCAGCAGCTCCTGGGGATAGAGTGTGTGTTTCTTCCCCAAGGATCAAATGCCTTAGGGGCTTGATTTTTATCTTTAAAAATGATATAGATTTAGTTTTTTACTCCAGAACTTATCTGGCTTTATCTTAATGTAAAAATAAATTTCCTTTTTGCTAGAAGAACAAGAGAAATTTAAATTCAGTGTTTCTCAGATTTTTATAAAATCACACTACTCACTAATGGAATGCATGTGAAAATCCAATGACTGCTTTTGTAAGTTTTAACCCCTACTTCCACTTCCATCTGCTTTAATTCTGATCTCTAGTGTCCCCCAACACCCATGTACTGGAGTTTTGGTTAGCAGGGAGGTACTGTTGTGAGCTGCTGGGCCCTTTAAGAAGCAGGGCCTTGTGGGAGGCTTTTAGGTCATTGTGGCCTTGAAGTGGGCATTGGCACCCTAGGCCTTTCCTGTAGCATTCACTTCCTGCCATGAGGTAGGCAGTTTTGCTCCATCACACTTTCCCCCCCACAGCCTCTCAGCATCCCCACCATAAGCCCAAATGAACCCGTTCTCTTTATAAGCTCGTGACCTGTACCTCAGGAATCTGTGACAGTGAGCAGAAGCCAACATGCACACCACTCCCTTGAGGATCACGTGTGTAAGGAGACACAAGCTGTCTTCTGAGTAGCCTTCACTATCGGAGGTTTAGTGTCATACAATTTGCATAATAAAAAGATGCTTCTTGTTCTTCAAATATGACAGTGAAATAGCTGGATGTGGTGATGGTGCAGGCTTGTAATCCCAGCACTTTGGAGGCTATGAGCAGGAGCATTACCGTGAGTTCAAGGCCAGCCTGGACTACATAGTGAGATTCTTTGTCAAAAAGCCAAAAAAAAAAAGTGAAATGATAAATGTGTTTTTGAATAACACAGCCCTCCCTCCCATTTGAAAACATCTCTTCCTCTTTTTAAAATAATTTTTGCAGTACTAGGGATTGAACCCGGGGTCATGCTCAGGCTAAGCACATACTCTACCACTGAGACACACCTCAGTCTGAGACGCTTCCTGTTGGGCTGCTGGGCACATATCATGATTGGGGTCCCTCTCGTACAATCCCCCATACTCTCCCCATGCCGGAGAGGCTTCCAGCTGCAGGCAGAATCTCCCCGGACTGTAGCCTAAAAGCAAAGAAGGAATCTCATTATTTCTCCTATTAAAAGTCTGGAGGAAGAAGCTTCTAGGGTTGGGGCAGTAGCTCAGGGATGATAGGGATGAGCTGGCATCTTGATGGTTTTCCTGGCATTGCCCTGATGCTCCCAAAATGACTTCCACAGTGCCAACCAGCTTCCTCGTTCCTTCAGGAAGGAGAGGAGACACTTCCCCTGAATGCACCCCATACTTCCTTGGCCACAGCTGTCTCGTGGCCACTCCTATGCCAGCCCCGGCAAAAAAGAACCAGGGTACTGCATTCAGCCTGGCCCCATCTGCTCAGCCCCCGTCTTCCTGGAACACACATGCAGGATGAAACATACTGGTTTTGTTTGTTTGAGACAGGGTCTCACTCTGTAGTCCAGGCTAGCTTCAAACTCACTACATACCTCAGGCTGGCCTTGAACTGCAGTGATCCTCTTGCCTCTGCTTCCTGAATGCTAGAATAACAAGCATGTGCCACCATACCTGACCCTGACACTAGTTATTTACTACCTAGTTTTGGCCAAGCTCCCTCCCTAGATTCCAAACACAGGACGGCCAAGAGTTTGTCTGTTTTATTCACTGGCATAGGTGCAACACCTAGAACAATACCAAGAATACAATAAATTTTTTAATTTTATTTTTTGAGGTGGGCTGTGTAGTTCAGGCTGTGTAGCTCAAACTCATAGCAATCCTCCTGCCTCAGCCTCCTGAGTGCTGGGGTTATGGGATTGCGCCACCACACCCAGCTTCAATAAATTGAATGAATGAATGATGAATGAATGAATGAATGAATGAATGAATGAATGGAGAAGGGCAGCCCCGAATGTTAGTAGGTAAGCAGATGTTAGACGGCCCAAAGGCGCCCAGGCCATTTGGGGGAAAGCGATGCTGCTGATCAGGAATGTCTGACCTCCGGCTTTGTCCTTGTGTCTTTCCTCCCAGGAATGACCCCGACGACCCTGTTCAATTCCTCCTGCCTCCTGGAAGACAGGATGTACAAGGACAACAGGACGGACCCATCCGGCCACCGGCTGGTGCCGCTGGTGGTGGTGCTGAGCAGTGTGTCGCTGGTCACTGTGGCGCTCAACCTGCTGGTGCTGTACGCTGTGCGCACCGAGCGCAAGCTGCACACCGTGGGCAACCTGTACATCGTCAGCCTCTCGGTGGCCGACCTGATCGTGGGTGCCGTGGTCATGCCCATGAGCATCCTCTACCTCCACAAGTCCGTGTGGATCCTGGGCCGCCCGCTCTGCCTCTTCTGGCTCTCCATGGACTATGTGGCCAGCACGGCGTCCATCTTCAGCGTCTTCATCCTGTGCATCGACCGCTACCGCTCCGTCCAGCAGCCGCTCAGGTACTTGAGGTACCGGACCAAGACGCGTGCGTCGGCCACTATCCTGGGGGCCTGGCTTCTCTCCTTCCTGTGGGTGATCCCCATCCTGGGCTGGCACGTCATGGCCTCGACGCCGGGGCCCCGGGCGAACAAGTGCGAGACGGACTTCTACGACGTCACCTGGTTCAAGATCATGACCGCCATCATCAACTTCTACCTGCCCACGCTGCTCATGCTCTGGTTCTACGCCCGGATCTACAAGGCCGTGCGGCGGCACTGTCAGCACCGCCAGCTCATCAACGGCTCCCTCCCTTCCTTCTCAGAGATGAAGCTGAGGCCGGACAGCACCAAGGCGGACACCAGGAGGCCGGGGAAGGAGTCACCCTGGGGGGATCCAAAAAGGCTGTCTAAGGATGCCAGCGGGGCGAGTGTCCCGATGCCATCGCCCCAGTCGCCCATGGAGATGCCATCCGTGGCTGTCTTCAGTGAAGAGGAGGGTGGAGAGGCGGGCACTCTGCAGATGCCCACGGTGGCGGTGGGAGATGGCAGGTGCTGTGAAGCCCTGGACCACACGCAGAGCCAGCCCAGGCCAAGTGGGCAGAGCCGGGCCGCACGTGACAGCAACACCAAGCCAGAGGATTGGACGCTGGTGGATGGCCAGTCCTTCTCCCGGACCACAGATTCTGACACCAGCACTGAGGTGGCGACAGGTGGCGACCAGCTGCGCAGCGGGTCCAGCACGGGCCTGGACTACATCAAGTTCACGTGGAGGAGGCTGCGCTCGCACTCGCGGCAGTACGTGTCGGGGCTGCACCTGAACCGGGAGCGGAAGGCGGCCAAGCAGCTGGGGTGCATCATGGCGGCCTTCATCCTCTGCTGGATCCCCTACTTCGTCTTCTTCATGGTCATCGCCTTCTGCAAGAGCTGCTGCAGCGAGCCCGTGCACATGTTCACCATCTGGCTGGGCTACCTCAACTCCACGCTGAACCCACTCATCTACCCGCTGTGCAACGAGAACTTCAGGAAGACCTTCAAGAGGATCCTGCGCATCCCACCCTGAGGGGCAGCTGAGAGAGGCGCCTGCGGTGGCGGCTTTGTGACGCCCCAGGGGGCGGAAGGAGGGAGCCTGTGTCTCACAGGTACCCCGTCCTCCTGCAGTGGCGGCCACAGTCTTGGTTAGGGGCTGAGCGGGGCAGAAGAAGTCTCAGCGGGTGGCACTTGAAGGACAGGCGGCAGTGAGCAGCAGAAAGACTGCACTGGGAGCAGCGGGTGGGGGACCCACAAGAGCCCGGTGGGCGCCTCTCTCCAGAACCCACGCCTGGGCTGCCCCGAGCTCCTGCCTCGGCCTTTCTCTCGCACACACGGCTTAGAGTCGGCGGGAAATCGTGCAGCATGCCTATCTGTGTTTTCCACCCCAGCTTCCTTCAGGTTCTTCAATACCTGTGCACAAAAGCTACCTTCAAAAGGGAGAGACAGGAAGTGATTTGAAGGGCTGCATGTTCAAAGCAAAGGGCTGGAGGGGAGAAGAACGACCGATGTCCTGAGGGCTGGACCAGGCACGTGGCACTGGTGTCCCACAACAGCACGAGAGGAGGGTGGCAGGAGAGTTCCAGCTTGTGGGGGAGCAGAGTGAGTTCTGGCGAGCCGGGATGAGGAACAAAGGCCGTGGAGCTCTCTGTGTGAGAAAGAGCAGCACCCGGTGGGGTTCCAGCGTGTGCTAAGCTTTTCTTCAAAAGGCAGAAGTGTGTCATATTACACGCCCACACCTACACGCAAGATTCCCAGGAGCAGCGACAATTCCCAAAATGACATGTGGGGAGGAAGAGCAGCTGCTGCGGAGCGCATCTGCGGCCACAGAGGAGCCCCTCAGAGGGGACAGTGGACATTTTTACCTGCAGGTCAAGAGGTCTGCGTGCTCTTTATAGTCTCCCTGCCGAGCTGAAAGCAGCAGAGCTGTGGGAACATGCAGCTCATGTGATGCTCACATCGCTGTCTGGTTGTGATTTATATTTTAAAACTTAATGTGTGTAGCAAGTGGAAATGCTTATCCACGCAGGTCTTCTGTGTCTTGTGTTCCCGTGTACATGACCTGTTTAAATGAGATACTTTTACCTCTCTAAATACACTGTTCAAAAGGATGCTGTTCTGTGATTTGTTCATTTCTTCCTTTCGGAGTCCCTTGGGCAGAGAAAATGTACAGGAAGGTGCTGCAGAGCATGACAAGACACTAGCGGGGTTCTGGTTGCTTTCTGGTCATGTCTGTACATGTCTTTACGAAAGGACTGTAGGAGAAGATTCACTCTCCTTCCGCTTTGCTTTCCAGAAACTGCTTCATGCTTGATTGGGGAGCTGCGGAGACTGTATCCCTGGTGTCAGCAGCTGTTGTTGCCGTCTGAGAGTGGGGCTTCAGAACCAAAGAAGCCTCAGGAGACCCCAGCTTGCAGGCAGGGCCATGTGTCCAGTGGAGGGACCACCCCAGTAACCAGGAAAGAAATGGGGGTGAGCCTAGTTTTGGGTGGGAGTGCTGGATTTGGGTCTGATGAGAACAATAAATAGATACTGCCAGAACCTGAGGACCAAGGTCCGTGTGTTAGTGTGTGCAGTGGCTCTGATGCCTGCGGGGTCTGCAACACAGAGGGCTTTCATATAGGTTTGTAATGATACACCGAATCAGAGTAGGACATGGGGGTGAACACCTGCAATCCCAGCACTCTTGGAGGCTGAGGCAGGAGGATCTTAAATTCTAGTACCACCTGGATGACTTAGCACCTCAGCAAAACCTTGTCTTCAAAATAAAAGCAAATAGTGATGCTTGGGGTATGGCTTGGTGAGAAGGCGCTGGGTTCTGTCCCCAGAGCAAGAAGGAACAGACCAGAATAGAACAGAACAGAACAGAACCCAGACACTAAGCAGGGAGAGACAGGAGTGTGTGGCGCTCTCACGGCCTCGGCTGTTGTGGCACAGGCAAGGCTGCCTTGTGGGAAGTGTGTGTCCTGTGTTGCTGACTGCAGGGCAGGTGGTGACAGTGGATTGACCTCACTTGCCGTGGTCTTGGGACACATCTTGGGACCTTACTGTGTCTGAGAACATTCTCTGCCTTTCTGTGGGCTCTGATTCACTCTCTTCCTTCCTCCTTTCCCTTCCCTTCCCTTCCATTCCCTTCCCCTTCCCTGTCCTTCCTTCCTCCCTCCCTCCCTTCCTTCCTTTCTTACTTTCTTCCTTTTTTCTTTCTTTCTGGATTTATACACAGGGTTTCATTATGTAAAAATCAGGCTGGCCTTGAACTCACTATTTAGCGGCTGGCCTCAAACTCATGGAGCTCCTCCTGCCTCAGCCTCCTGAGTGCTGGGATTACAGGTGTGCATCATTACACCCGGCCTCTGTGAATCTTTCTTGATGCTCCACAGTCCTGGTGCCCAGTGGGCTGCCTTGCTTTTCCTACCTGGGCATCAGGCAGGACCCACCCCTACCAAGGAGCCACATTTTCCAATTACTAATTACCAATTACTAATTACCACATTTACCAATTACTAATTACCATTACAATTACTAATGGCATGGCCATTAGTTCTAGGCCCCTCAGCCATCTGGATTTCCAGGTCTCCTCCATTGAAACGGACTTTCTGAACACTGTCCTAGGCCATACGGAGATAATGGGTGGCCTAGGACAGACAGATGTGGTTTCACCTCTGCTGGACTGGGTCAGAGCTTTGAGGAGTGTCTGAAACTGAATCTGGAAATGGTTACTGGTGGCCATGGGTATTCTGTGCTGCTCTAACAGGGTGTCACAGACTTGATCCGGGCTCACCCATGCTGTATATCTCTAATCTGAAAATCCCAACTCTGATGTGCTCCAAAATCTGGAACTTTCTGATCACCAACCTGCAGCCAAGGGGGAAAGTTCAGATTGTCCCTGTGGGTGGCCTCCAGTGACACTAAAACTGCTGTGCGAAGTCGCCTTTGGTCTGTGAGAGTAAGGTGCGTCTGAAACATGAACTTTTTGTCTAGATTTGAGTGCCACTTCTAGCAGACGTCATTACGGACATGCAAGTACTCTGGAGCCAAAAAAGAATTAGAAATCCAAACACTTCTGCTTCCCAGTGCTTTGGATAAGGATATTTAACCCGTAATGAACAGAAATCTCCAAATCCAGATCTCATGTTCTCAAGATGTTACGGCAAAAATTCAGGCTGTACTCCGCAAGAGACCAAAGAGAACAGACAAAGTTTTAATTTAGACTGGTCACCTCTCATCCTGACTTGCAAGTCAGGGAAGTGGGCGTGGACCTGTCTTTGTTTTTAGGTTATATACATTTTTGGTTTCTGTGGTAACAGAAAGGAATGTTGTAGCCCTGGCCACATGTTGTTTTCCTTGTGCCATGTAACCGGGTCAGGCTCCAGTCATGAGCCCAACCACAATGATATATACTTTTTGTATTCTGTTTTACATGTCCCCCTTTAGATAACCATACATTTCTTTTATGGTTACAGTGTTTATCTAGGGCCATGGAAGGGATGAAACAAGCCAGGCAGGGTCATAGGTGGTTATCTGGGCCCTGGTGTTCTTTGTCTTTGGAGAAGCATTCCAGGGCTAAGTCAGGACTGTAAAGTTAACTCTTTACAACCCTCCAGGACGTTTTTCAAGACACACTTTGAGGCTTGCATTAAGACTAGAATTATTTTATCTTAAAATGATATGCTAAGAGTCATTGTCCTCTACAAAGAACGAATCCTTTAGCCAGGCATGGTGGCACACTCCAGTAATCCCAGCACTTGGGTGGCTGAGGCAGGAGGATTACCGCAAGCTCAAGGCTAGCCTGGGCTACATACAGAACACATAGACTCTATCTTTAAAAAAAAGGTCCCACTTTGTAATGACCACCACATGGTTACGGACAGGTGCAAAAATGAAATCCTCTTTGGGACCCAGAACTCATTGTTCAATAAGAGTTTTGATACATTTAAGAAGGAACATTACTGCTGGGTACAGTGGTGCATGGGCATAATCCTTACAATCCTGAGGCTGAGGTAGGAGGAATACAAGTTTGAGACCAGCCTGAACCAGTGAGACCCTGCTTCAGAAAACAAAACCAAAACAAAAACATTATACCTAATACAGAGTGATGGGGGGTGGATAACCACCAAGAATGGGTCTGGCACAAAACAGTTAGTAATCAGCAAGCACAGAGATGAACAAAGTCTCAGCTCTGTTGATCCGGTACACCACTTTCTATGTTGTGACTTAAAGGTAGATTTTTTCTCCTTCCTCAAAGGATTATGTCTTTTTGTTTTATTTTTTGAGAAAGGGTCTCACTATGTAGTGCAGGCTGGCCTTGAAGGCACTATGTCACCCAGGCTGGCCTCACACTCACAGCGATCCTCCTGCCTCAGCCTCCCAAGTGCTGGGATTACATGGTGTGCCACTATGTCTGGCTAAAGAGTTGTGTCTTAAGAACTCAAGGTTTGGAGTTGAGGATATGTATTCCTGAGTTTGGGTCATGTTTGTTTCAATGTAGTGAGTAATACATTATCATATGAAAAGTTCTACAGGTTTATGAGAAAATAATCACCACAATGGTAGTGAAGCTCATCCGTTCATTCCTTTGTTCCTTTCTTCTTCCCTGCCTTCCTGTGCTAGGGGTCCAGAGCCCCACTCTCACATGCTAAACACAAGCTGTGCTACTGATTGATTCCCCGGTCCCTGGGGATTACACTTCAGCATGAGTTGTGGAGGGAACATGATTCAAAGCATTGCCCAGGGAGTTGTGTGGAAACCAGTACTGATGTCCCAGATGCCTGGGTTGGGCAGGTCCAAGTTAAGTCAGCCACGGGAATCTCAGTGAGAACTTGAGGAAGCTCCCTCTAAAATGCTGCTGTTGCTTCCAGCCCATTTCTGCTCTCGAGGAGCATCAGTTCTGGTGTCCAAAACTGAGGGTCAAGAATCATCCTATGGCTGAGTGAGGTGGCACACGTCTGTAAACTTAGTACTCAGGAGGCTGAGGCAGGAGGATCGCTATGAGTTTGAGGCCAGCATGGGCTACATAGACCCTGTCTCAAAAAAAAAAAAAGTACTGTGTCCACATCTGCTGCAGTGCAGGGCTAAGTGGGTGGGGAGTGCTTGAGTGGGTGGGGAGGGTGTGGTAGAGGGAGTCGGGGTGTACACACGGCCAAGGCTGACAGTTCCCAGAAATGCATGAATCATTTTCATCTGGGCAGAAACTCTAAAATGTATTTATTAGATGAGCTCAAAGTCCAGCAGGGGAAATAAACCCTTGAATAACTTCCTTTAGCCCCAGCTCATGTGCTCAATACAGTAGAGCCTCTAGGTGGGTGTTGGGCATATCTTCTCATAGGAGGTGACAGCTTGTTCATTGAGACAAGGCCTCACTAAGCTGACCAGTTTGGCCTGGAACTTGCCATCCTCCCATCTCAGCCTACTAAGTAGCTAGGAGTACAGGTGTGCACCACCACACTTGGCTTGGTTTTCTAAAATCACTGTTATACGTAGTGCATACTATTCAATATACCTGGGATAAATACATGCCTGCATGTTGTCATGACCTTGGTGAAGCCGTGAAACATTGCCGTACCCCCGTGAGGACAAGGCCCCCTCATTCTTTGGCACCCACAGATGTAACTTCTGTCACTGCAGAACTCCACTGAGGTGGAATCAGACAGCGTGCATGCCCTTTCCCGTCAGCGGTTGGAGAGCCAGGTGCAGTGAGTTGGACTGTGGAGACTGAGGAGGTCATGTAGCGTGGAAGTGTGAGGCACGGTGGGTTGGAGACAGGAGGGAGCAGGGTGTGCTTGGAAAACCCACGTTCCTGTGGGGCGAGCCAAGCCAGCAGTCTGAGGAGGTAGGCACACTCAGAAGAGCTTTCGAGTATCTCAGGCACTTTTCTCCCTGCTGGGACACGACACTTGACACCCGCAACTTGAGGGAGGTTCATTTGGGCTCAGGGATTCAGAAGTTTCAGTCCATGGTCCCCAGGCTCAAGCACAGACACTGTGTGGGAAGGGTCTAGGCGGAGGAGAGCAGCTCAGCTCATGGCTCACAGCAGTAGAGAGAGATGGGAAGAGCCAGACAGGAAGCTTTACCTTCCAGGCCATGCCCTCAGTGCCTCCAAACAGGCCCCACCTCCTAACAGCACAGGGCTCTGAACTCATTAGTGGCTGAATCCACTGATGAGCAAGCACAGTGCCCCCACGATCCAGTCATCCTCCAAAGGCCCCACCTCTGAACACACAAGGCTTCTGGGGGGCCATTCCAGTCCAGACCACAACACCAAGCTGGGTGTGGTGTCCTGTGCCTGTAATCTCAGCATTGAGGAGGCTGAAGCGGGAGGATCCTTGGAGTTACCCTGGACTACACAGTGAGTTCAAGGCCAGCCAGCAAGATCCTGTGGGAAACAATCATGGTTAAGGAATCTTTCCACATTTTTTTGTGCTCAAAAAGTGTTTACTGCAAAGAAACACACATTCCCATGTGACCTAAGATTCCAGTCCTTCTGATCCCCTGTACTTGGCCCCTTAAATGACCTGTTGAGCTGCTTGTCCCTACTGAGCAATGCCAGAACACGTCACTGACCAAACTTCGGGGAAGCTGCTTTCCTCCCAAGGTCCCTCACTTTGACCTCCATTCCACCCAAGCCAGCACACAACCCTGCCTGAGAGTCGCCTGGTTTCAAGGGAAAGCACTCCCTGCTCTTTGGTTGGGATCAAACCCTGTCACCCCCATTTTCCCACATCTAAGTCTTTCTAGCCTTATTTATGCTTCCTATAAAAGAAAGTTCATTTCCTCTCTCCCTTAAGATACTTGCAAGCTTTTGGTCAGTGTGGTCTCTGTTGCTGTAGCTCCTCTCTCATCCCTTGGAATAATCCTTTCCAGTAAAGTATTCTTACTAAGTCTGGATTTATTCTTTTATTTCTTTTTTTGTTTTTTTTTTTTCTGGTACTGGGAATCGAACTCACAACCTCGAGCTTGCCAGGCAGGCACTGTGCTGCTGAGCTAAATCCCCAGCCCCTGGATTTATTCTTATTTATGTATTCATTTACTTATTTAGAGACAGGGTCTTGCTATGTAGTTCAGGGTGGCCTTAAACTCATGATGATCCTCCTGCCTCAGCCTCCCAAATGCTGGTATTACAGGTATGCAGTATGCCTGGCCTCATTTCCTGTTTGGGAAGAGTCAGCCTTTCATTCAATTTTGGCTGGCAAATCCTTTAACTGTGAGCAAGTCAATTAAATTTTCCTAGTCTAGCTGGGCACGGTGGCCTATGCAGCAATCCCAGCACTCAGGAAGCTGATGCAGGAGGATAGCCATGAGTTTAAGGCCAGCCTGGGCTATATAACAAACTCCATCCCCCAAACCCCACATAAATAAATAAAATTTCCCAGCCTCTGGTCTAGGATAATAAAGCAAAAGCCTTGGGGACCCTTGCGTGGATGAGACATGAAACCCTGGAAACGCGACACTAATAGAGCAGCCATTGCTGTCCCCACTGCGTGTGGAGAGGTTCGAGTCCCTGTGGGCAAGGTCTCCCGGCAGGATGAGAAATCATCCTGTGCAGTCCCACCGCCTGGCCGACACACGCGACAAGTCCTCCTGGAGCAGGAGCGACTTCATCCTTTGACAGCAGGAGAGAAGAGAGAGTGGGCAGGTCGCTGTCAACTGTCCTTGGCTGTCACATATTATAACCTTCATCTGTCTTCTCTTTTGCCTTTGGTCCCGGTTGTCCCTCTGACAAATGGCAGCGATAACTTATGCCATGCCCTGAAGTCACTAGTGTGTGTGCGTGTGTGTGTTACTAAGGATTAGGCCCAGAACGTTCACTGCATCCTCAATTTTGCCCCTTTCATTTATTTATTTATTTATTTATTTAGAGAGACGGTTTCGTTAAGTAGCCCAGGGTGGGCTCGAACTTGTGATCCTTCTGCTTCAACATCCCAGAGTGCGGGGAGTACAGGCGCGCGTGGGCATTTTCAAAAGCTCAACCTGCACGCACACATTTCAGCCTCCAAAGAGCCTCTCTTGTAGTTTCTGCAGGACCCTGCCAGCCTCCGTGCCCCGCCTTCCACACTGCTCGCGTTCCGCCCCCTTCGCTTGGTGCTAGGGACGCATTTCCTAGAGCTGCCTTGTATCCCTTGCGCATGCGCATCAGGCTACGGGAGGCTGGGGGCGGGGTACAGTGCGTCATCAGGGTGCGCTTTGCGGGCGCGCCGAGGTTGCCGGAAGTTGGGCAGCGGTGAGTGAACCGCGACGGCGGAGCGCGTAGTGGGGTCTCACGGGGTTCGTTTCGGGGGCCTGGAGGGACGCGGCGAGCCGTGAAGTGGGGAGCGAGGCGCGCCGCGGGGCTCAGGACCATCCTCTCCCTATTCCAGGGGTGGTGGTCCGCTTGTTTCTGCCTGTCTCTAGCTCGTGGCGACTTCCCCGTCCGCCTCGGGTCTGCGCGGGAGCGCCGGGTGCTGACGTCTCAGCCTCGTCCTGGCGGTGCCGCGTTTGCTGGAGACCCCGCGCGTCTTCCTCTCTTATCGGCGACCGTGGGGTCTCCAGGCTCGGGTTCCAGGTGCCTTGGTGTGGCCCAAAGCTGGCAGGCCAGTGCTTAGGATTTAGTCGAGTCAGAAATGGAGTCGAACTTTAATTTTTACTGAATTTTATAAGCACGGTACTGACGTGATGTGGGAGAAGCGAAGCCTAATCCAGCATTTGTGCTGTCTCCGTATTTCTAAACACTACCCACGCTTTTTTTTTTTAAATGGCAACAAACTCAGTTCTTTCAAAAATAACAAAAAACCCTGTGCTGCTGTCACGGGCAGCTATCAGCCAGTAGGTCTGACTGTTAGTTTGGGGCCTTTGCCCCAGGTTCCTTTCTTATTGACTGGAGGGTGGTCTGTAACGTCGCTGCCCGCTGACCAATTCTCTGCAGTGGTAGAAAGCTCACTACTTCTAGTTGCTCCAGTTTGGTCTTTGCCCAGGTCTGACTCCGAGTCCTATGCTGAGCGGCAAGCAGTTACCCAGTAGTCTCAGTTCATCGACCCTGCTTAGGCCCCTGGGATCTGCCTTTCAGTAACTGGCCTACACATCTTTGAAAGCTACGAGATGGTCTTTCCCTCATTTTCTTCTCTAGGCTGAGCATATTTAATGTGTTTACTCAGGGTAAGCTCCATAACAACAGAGAATTTTGTCTTATTCTTGTATCCCCAGCTTATAGGAAAGTGCCTGGTATAGTATATGTGCTGAATAAATATTTGGTGTTGACTAAGTAAAACAAATGTTGAATGCCTGTTAGGTGTTGGGCATTATTGTAGGCTTTATAGACAAAAAAGAACTGTTGGGGCTGGGGATTTAGCTCAGCGGCAAAAGCTCCTGCCTGGCATGCGCAAGGTCATGAGTTCGGTTCCTGGTACCGGAGAAAAACCAAAAAAAATAAAAAATTAAAAATAAAATAAAAACTGTTTCTTGGAGTCTAGGATTTTTTGCTGTTTTAAAAATTCAATCAGGTATTGAACCCAGGGCCTTGGCACTGAACTATATCTTCAGGCCTTTTTATTTTGAAACAAGGTCTTGCTAAATAGCCCAGGGTGGGTTTCATTTTGCGAACCTCCTGGCTCAGCCTCCCAAATTGCTGGGATTATGAGTGTGTGCCACCACGCCCTGGTTATGAAGCCTAATGTTCTTGGTTTATTTTGAGACAGAGTCTATACTCTGGTTTCTCTTCAGGTCATACAAATCTTTCACCCCTGAGACAGAGTCTCACTGTACTTAAGGCTAGCCTTAAAGTCACTGTGTAGCCCATGCTGGGCTGGAATTTGCAATCTTCTTGTCTCAGCTTCCCAGATTGCTGGATGACAGGCATGGGCCACCACACCCAGGTCATGAAGCCTATTTTTTTGATAGTGATTGTGGTGGTTATCAATAAATATACTTCAAGGAGTGATAAATGTTTTAGATCCTAATAGGTGCTACAAAAGAGGAAACAGGATAGAGAACAATGTGATGGATAAACAGAACTATCTTCATATATTTATTTGGGGCGCTGTTTTAAAAGCCCACTGGATGGGAGGTGAGTTATGAGCTAGGCTGGACATAGTGGCGCACTCCTGTAATCACAGCACTCGGGAGGCTGAGGTAGGAGGATCGTTGTGAGTTCAAGACCAGCCTTGGCTACAAAGTGAGCTCAAGACCAGTCTGAACTGCATAGTAAGACCCTGTCTCAAAAAGACAAAAAAAAAAAGCTAACACCTAAAGAACAAAAAACCCAGTCTTTTGATGGCTCATCTTGCTGGCCTGTTCCCTCAGTCCCCATTGTATACTCCAGCCTTGTTGAGCTTGTTGCACGTGCGGGTGGTCCACAGCTCTCCGCTCCTATCCCTGCCACCCACAATGTCTCTCCGTCCGTTGCTCTTGGTCAACTCTTATGTACCCTCATGTGACACGATTTTGAAACCCTTTAAAAGAGCTGAGTACTGGGTTTTCTTGTTATAAAACCACAACATCCCTTTTTCACTCTCAGCCAGCTACCCTAGAGAATACACACAAATGTTTATTGAACATCTGTTGTGTCCCTGACCTGCACTGCGAGCCGTATGGAAATGAGCAAGAGATACCTTCTCATGCTCAAGGAGTTTAATTTTTTAATAAACTATGGCATGAAACCATTGTCAAATGTTTGGGGGAGGAAGACTTCGGGTGCTTTTCAGTCAGGCTGAGGCATCAGAAAGTTGCCGTGAGGATTGTGTCTTCTCCATGTTCTAGAGGATAAGTAGGATGTGCAGGTGCAGAAGAGCTGGAAGTAGCTGAGCAGAGGCTGCAAGGGAGGCTGGCCTGTGAAGGTCAGCAGAGTTGCAGCATAGGGTTGCAGTTTGAGAGGTGACTGGAAAGGGCAGTGGGAGCCACACCACGCAGGGCCTGTGGGCAGTAGCATGCCAGGAGCACATAGCGTGCTCAAAAGGCCTGTGTCCCAGTACCAGCTTTGCCACTGAACTAGCTTTGTGACTGTGGGAAGGAAACTCTCTTTCTTCCTAAGCTTTAGTTTCCTCATTTATGAAAACAAGAGATAGGAGCTGGAGGTGTAGAGCACTTATCTAGTGTGCCAGAAGTCCTGGGTTAGATCTCCAGGTCCCCAAAGAAGAAGGTGGATGTAAACTGAACGCACAGATATGTTACTTAGCCTTCCTACATGAAAGTCAGTGAACAGTAGCAGTTACTATTGCTCATCTAAGCAGCTTAGACCTTACTTATTTTCCTTTTTTTTGGTAGTACTAGGGGTGGAACCCAGGGGAGGCATCGTGCATACAAGGCGCTTTACCACTGAGCTACGTCCCTTTCCCTTGGATGTTATTTTTAAAGTGTAATGGTGGAGAGCAGGACACTGGAGAATTTTAGCAGGGCTGTGACATTCTCTTGTCTGTTTTAAATTACTAGGGCGGTGGAGTGGTGATTACACTGCCTAGAGCAGGACCAGCAGGGAATGAGGTGGGGTGGTGCTGGGGCAATCAGGTGAGGGAGGAGGGACGAAGGATGGGGAGGAGGTGGGGTTTGCTGACTGCTGCATGGGAAGAGCAGGGAGACCGTGGTGAGCATGTCGAAGTGGGCTCATGGTGCTGTGCGGAAAGAAGCAATAGCAGAGCTCTGGAATTGGCGTCTCAGACTTTATTTGAACATAATTGGTCTCTGTCTTCCGCTTTAGTCCATGGAAGTGAAGCCCATGAATGCCTTCCTCTTCCTGTCCTCTTTTCCTGATTGTCGCACCCTGGTCCACTGTCACAAGGTCTGATTGTACAAGCAGGGAGACTGAGTAGACATTTTCATGTTTGAGGCAGACTGGGTAATGTCCTGCTCCCCGGATCTCCATCCAGCTCCAGAATGAGAACACTTGGGATTTTCTGGCTCCTTCCTCGGCCAGGTTCCCATCCTTGACGTTGTTCTTATTGTCAGTCTCTTGAGTATGTAGTACAGGAAGGAAGTCTCTTTCCCTGAGTCCAGTATGCAGGGTGGGAATGCGCTTTCCTTGGAATAACCCGAGCCCCCCAGCAACACCATCAACGGATAGTGCTTTTGCCTCTTACAAACTGTGTCCCTGGACAGGATAGCCAGGCCCTTGCTACTCCCAAATGTCCTCCAGCAGCTCTCCAGCCATTTCCCTGGTGCCTTTCTCCTCTACCCTGTTGCTTCGCCTTTTGTTCTAACTGGTGACAGGCAGTTTGTTCTGAAGCTGATTCTACTCCTTGGCTTCTCGATCCCATCTCCTTTGCCTCAGGGACCTGATTCCATCACATACTCCTTTCTCTTCCCATTTCTCCAGCTCTTCCCTTTTCAGTCCTGTGTCCTCAGTTTTCTCTCCTCTTGGGGAAGAGCAGTATATCTTCTTGTTAACATCTGCCTGTCTTTCCAGCCCTGTTCTTGGAAGAGTGGTTGGAATTGCCACCTCTATGTCCTCACATCCTGCCAAGGACGTCCTCATGTTCTCTATGTCCTGCTAAGTCCTGCTGCCATCCCAGCACTCTAGTAAATTAGCTGTCCTCAAAGGCGTCAGAGCTCCCGAACACTTCCTTCTCTTTCAACCTCTTGGCACACCCGACATTGCAGATACTGCCCTTCACCAGAGCCGGTCCTGCTGTATACCGTATGGCTGTCACCAGATGGCTTCTGCGGAGGCCATCACCCCGCCACACACAGAGTAGGTTTGTCAGCTCTCCTCAGGATGCATCAGGTTTCCCAGGTGGACTTAGAGTGAGAGAACACAGGGACAGGCGCTCAGCCTGCGGAGCTGAGGGCACAGCTCTGAGGGAGAGGTCAGACCGGTCCATTCACAGAAGCATCCAGGTTTTATGGACTTACTGGGGTGGGGTAGAGTCTGGCTGTCGTCGTTTTGCAAGATGGCTTTAGAGGTGTCCTTAGTCGTCACTGCTTGAGGGGATAATATGGTCTCCAGAAGATGGCTGCTTCTGCTGGGGGCAGGGTAGTCTTGGGAGGCTACCTGGGGTGTAGGCTGACTGGGTACCTGCTCACCTGTTACCTTGCTGTCCTGGGTCTAGAAGGTGTGGGAACAGGTGCTGTGAATTCAGGCCTCAGCCTGTGTAGAGGCTGTTATGGTTTGTGTCTGGATGTCCCCCCAAAGGCTCATGTAGTCATGGGTCAGGCTTCTAGAGTTTATGATTGATCCATGATCCAATGCTGGGATTATGGGTATGAGAGCTACACCCGCCCTTGGGCCTTGGGTGGATAGTTTGCATATGTAAGGGA